CATGCAGGCATGCATGCATGCATGCCTACCTACAGAAAGATATGGGTGGTTGTCAAAATTAGGGTCCCATTTTAGGTCCTTATTATAATACGGCACCTATTATTTAGGGTACCCCAAAAGGGACCATTATTTTGACAACCACCCATATACATGCGCATGACCGCGTTCAGAGCCTGGCCTGCTGGAGGCCTGTGAGTTCGCGAACACACGGGAGTGCCTCGGCATCTATGCCGGCCTCTTCTCCTCGGGCCTGGGGAAGTACGACACCACGATCTTCGACACTTTCCGGGCCTTTGGCTTCACGGTTTTCGCGACTTGCAGCTTGCAGTGCAAGAGCGCAGTAGCTCGGGGGCTTGAGGTTTGAGTGGCCACCCGGGCTGGCGGAGGTCTGAGAAAGATCAAAAGCGGTGGGTGAAGGGAGGAAGAGGGCCCAGGCCCCGGTGACCTTAAGACCTCTAGCTCTCGGGCCCTAATACCAAGACAGAGACGGAGAGACAGGCAGAACTCGCCAGATAGAATATGAGGTGCGCCCGTCGCCAGTCTTATATATGTAAACAGGTGTCACCTGGAGCCCGCTGGATGCACACCCGCGCAGACTTATGTCAACTCCTAAGCCCCAAAGTCCAAAACTCTAGACTCGTAACTCCCGCGACGCTCAAGCAATTCCTTGCGAGGCATCTTCAGCGTGGCAAAGGCGGGGCTCTATGCCTGCCAGGACAGGATTTTCTGAAACAAAGAAGCCCTGACTGTATGGGGTTCCGGGCGGGTCCTTAGAGCGGGTCGTGATAATCAGGCTCATATTCACTGTCGCTCGCATCGAAAACTGGCAAGTGCTTAAATCTTCGAAGATGTGCAAGCCAAGCATAGCCCGAGCCACGAAGCGTTTCCTCAAACCCGAAGTCTTGAAGCTCAACAAAACTTATGAAGATTTATAAACTACATAGACCTCACGTAAGCCTCGGAAAAGCGAAGCCACCAACCTCTACGATCCTATTCTAAGCCCCCCACCCAGGCCCTCTGAAAAAGCTGCGCACACGCCAGGACTTCCGGTTCATGGCTAAGGCTTCTACGCTGGTGTTCTTGGTGATCTTCCTTCCTGTGCCTTCTGGAGGGTTTAGGTTCAGGATTCTAGGTTTGGAGCTTCGGTTTTGGGGTTGAGGGAGCTCTAGGATGAGCTTAGGGGATGCTAGAGCGGAGGTTATTAGGCTTTCAGGGGTTTCGAGGAGTCGGGAGTCTCAGGCTTGCCGCGCCAGGGATCAGGGTGTAGGTCGAATTTTTGGAGCTGTTTTGGGCTAGCCTTTTGAGTGGCCCGACTGAGTCCTATGGTTCTGCCTTTCTTCGTGCCAGGTCTTTTCGACCACCCAGCACTATACACTTGGGGTTGGACCATAAACTCAACTGAGGTGCTGCTGGTGGCACGTTTTTTCTTTGTGAGCGCGACGGCGCTGTACGTGGCTTCTGTGCTGCCCAGCTGGATACTGACTCTCGTGTTCCTCTGGCGCCTTCAAAGGAGTCTTGGTGCGCTTTTTTCGCCTGAAACCCGAAACTTTACAGTAAGTTAAAGTAAATACATCTTGCAAGACGAGCAGATGTGCGGTGCCAGTCCTCAGCCACGAAGTCAAGTCAAGGAACTGCCAGAAGATGATACAGCGGACGAGCCTGCCCGGGAGGCATGAGGTGAGCATGGGCCAGATTTGATAGGGTGTCAGGAATGCCCTCCATGTAGGGCATGCAGACTTTAGGGCGTAGGAATAGGAGCCCCCCCCATCTATCAACCCGGTCTGGGTTTGTGGGGGGGGCGCAGCGGCATAAGGCCGTTCCTTTTGAGCCTGCCATGGCTAAACCCAGTTTGAGGCAGCGAATCAGTTCTGCCTCGCCCATGCTCTCATTCCCGATCGTGCTTTCGATCGAAATCGCAGCTCCTTCTTGGGTTGGGGGCATTCCTTTCACCTCTTTTGCAATGCAGATGCGAATGGCTGTTGCAAAGGGCTTGAAGCCGTCTCTGGGTCTGCACGATGCAAAGCAGACTAATTAGACTTGTGTGTGTTGCCCAGAATGCAGTCGCCCGAACCCGAGAAGGAGTTTGCTGGAACAGATGTCGAAGCTCCTGCTTGGGGATGCCGAGAAACAGAGTGTCACGCACTGCTACCAGGGATTCTGGTCAGGTATTCGGCTCTTGTTGCAAGTCGGTGCTGATGCTGATGATGGTGGAGATGAGGATGGTGACGGCAACATCGAAGTGCCCTAGACCCTAAGCCCGATCCGTGACACGGTGCCCAATGTGCAAATTCAGCTGTCAGAATACTCGAGATGCAAGAAATCGCTCCTTGTTTCCGAAGATATTAAGAGTACCGCAGTTACGCTCATTTTGTATATGCAGGGGTTTTGTGTTTGGGGTCTATGTCTGGGTCCCACTTTTTCGGAACTCCTCCCGTCGCAACTTGCAACCTCTTGAGCCCCGTGGATGAGTTGAGGCTGTGCTGCCAGTGACCGGGAAGACCCCCCGATTCTCCATCTTCGGCTGGCTGCTCGGGTTTAAGACGACGGCTTCCACTAGGGCTTTGATAGGGTTCCTAGAAGGGTGCGTATACCTTCCCTATACCCTATACCCTAAACCCGGTATACCCTTAACCCCAAACCCTAAACCCCAAACCCTAAAACCTAAACCCTAAACCCTAAGCTAAACCCTAAGCCAGCTATACCCTTAACCCCAAGAGCCCTAAATACCAAAAATCCCTTTCGCGCACAGCTCCGGCTCACGGGTTCCCGAATAGCAGAGTTTTTTCCGTTGAGTGGTGTCAAGATAGGGTGCTGTTTAGGGTTTAGGGTTTTAGGGTTTAGGGTTTAGGGTTTTAGGGTTTAGGGTTTAGGCTTCATGATTAGAATGGGGGTTTAGGGTTCAGGGTCTAGGGTTCAGGGTTTAGGGTTTAGGGTTTAGGCTTCATGATTAGAATGGGGGTTTAGTGCGTACTATGGTACGGTAGTACAGTCTATTGAGTACAATTATATCGTAGATTAGGGATCCCGACGGCAGAGTATGCTTACTTCTTCCGGCTTCCCTTTTTATGGCGACACCCTGAACTGTGTCCCGTTGTTCTTCACCCACCAAGCTAGCCTTTTCCGTCCAGCAACCCGTAAGATGGTCCGCCCTTACGGTAACCCTTATATAACCAACCATGTATTTAAACCCTAAACCCCTAAACCCTAAACCCTAAACCCTGCAAGTGCGAGAGGGAAAAAACCCTGCAATGCGGGCTCGTCCTTGCTATGTAGGAGGCAAAAAACCCTAAACCCTACACCCTCTGCTCTTGGCCCATCGGTGCGGAAAGTACAAGGCACCCCTAGCCGCAGACCTCGAGATCTCGAACATTGCAGAGCCAGTGCACTGCTGTAAGGGCTTAGGATTTGGCGTCAAGATTTTTTTGGTCATAGGGGTCGGACTGATTAGTGGTAGTAATATTATCTCCGTGTAGTCCCTATGTAACCAGGGTACAATCTTACCCAACACATGACGAATTGTTCAACCCCTTCATTGTGTAACTTTACCGCCGCTGCCGAGGTTTCTACGGCCAGGACAGCTTGGGATTGCTTTGAGGGCCTCATGCTTAAAAACTGGTTGGATGTAGAGTTGTTGGTTCAGGGTATTCGGATTTAGGGTTTAGGGTTTAGGGTTTAGGTTCAGGACTCTATGCCAAAGAGGGTTTAGGGTTCTTTCAGTGTCTCAAGCCGCTCCGATCCGAAGCCAAGTCTAGAGGAGGGTCCTTACTACACTGGCGAGGACCCTTTGGATAGGGCTCCGCTGGTTTTATAGACGTGATGTTCAAATGATGTAAGGCACCGCCAATGTTTCGAACCCTTATCTGGTAGAGACTGGATTTCCGGGTCCTGACGACTGGCACCTTATGCCGGTTCTTTCCAACAAAGGTCCTACTTTTCATTGGTGGGTATCAAGACAGTGCTGTTTCCAGCCTCACTGTTTGTTCATACTCAACATCACCATAAGCATCAATACTCCAGAGCAGCATCGTCATCACCATCAGTCGCCCTTGCTACCACAGCCGCTACGTAGTGGACGTCGTTTTCACCGCGATCTTCTTGTCGCTATCGTCATTGGTCGGCGCTGCACTGTCATTTGCGAGCATGGCTGGTGCCATGTTAATTGTCAATCCCTTCTGATCATAGGTGTCGAACCGAAACTAAAGCGAAACCCGCTCGTAAAGCCTTCACTGGAATCAATAGGCGGCCTCATCTCAAGCTGGACTAAGACCCAACATCCCAAGCCTACAAACCCAGACCTTAAGGCCGTAAGAGCCAAGAGTCCAAGAGAGGCAAGCTCTACAGCCTTGAAAGCGGCTGACTGACGACAGCACCTCTCAGCTCTACCCGCACCGCAGCTTGATGTGTCCTGGCGGCTGTCAAACTCTGGAGGGGGAGGGGGGCATGCCGTAGTTCTGCAAGTGTGTAGTTGTGGTGCGTGAACAACAAATCAAGCCACGTCATCTACCTGCACAATTATAAATAATTAATTCAAAATATTCCGGGCCCCGAAACCCTAAACCCTTATAGAACCCTTTATCTAGTAGAAAGCGGTCGACGACACCGCTGCTGGAGCTGCTGGAGCTGCCATTGCTCCTGCTGCTGCCGCTGCGGCTACGGATCAAGGTTACGGTTACAGGCCTCGTTGACTCGTCGGGCTTGTCAATGCCAGTCCAGTGTGACTTGTAGCAGTGTGTAGCAACGATAACTTGTTGGTTGAACCCAAAGTTGCGCTATTTGTGTGAAGTTGTGCTTGCTGCTGCTACCCCCGCCTTCCATTCGTATTTATAGTGGTGATTTGTTTTCCTGCTACTTTGGTATTGCCACTTACGCTGATGCGATTATCGCGGCCCCGACGACGACGGGTCTGCCATCATCACTACGACGACGGCGAGCACAACAACCACTACCACAACAAAGTCAACGACTACGACTGCTGTTGCTGGCGAAGCTGTTCATACTACTACCGCCTTCTTCCCCTCCTCCTCCTCCTCCTCGTCCTCCTCCTGCTCCTACTCCTCTGACTCCGCCTCCTCCACCTCCACCTCCTCGCCCTCCTCCGCCTCCTCGTCCTCCTCTTCCTCCTCCTGCTCCTCCATCATCTTCACTATGTACCATTGCTTCTCCTGCTGCGAGAGCTGCCCAGTGCCCTTCAGGATTTGTTATTGGGTTTAGGGCCTAGGGTTTAGGGTTTAGTGTTTAGGGTTGCGTTCTGGAGTGCCATGGGCTGTCCCAGCGGACTGAAAGGCAGCACGATTTCGGCGGACCTGGCATGGACTCGGAGGCTTACGTCGCGAGGCCCGGTGCCCTTGACTATATTACGTTATATCATACTATATTGGAACCAGTTCTAGTATATTTTATTGGAGTATGTTCCAGCGTTTCAAAACAAGTAAAGCACAAATTCCATTCTTTCGGTTGGAGCAACAATAGGGATATCAACAGCAGCGGTCATGATGTCATTAATCATGTTACTACCACACTACTACCACACCAGCAGCGGCGCCCGTTTTGAGTTTAGGGTTTTGGATCTAGGGTTTTGGGTTGAGGGTTTTGGGTTAAGGGTTTTGGGTTCAGGGTTTGGGATTTAGGATTTTGGGTTCAGGTTCAGGGTTTTGGATTTAGGGTTTTGGGTTCAGGGTTTAGGGTTTTGGGTTCAGGGTTTTAGATTTTAGGGTTTTGGGTTCGTCCGTTTCATTCTTAGTCGCCTGAGAATGCAGTCACAACCTTTTGCCATGTTGGTGAGCCTTGAAACTTGGCTCTACGATGCCTATCTTAAGGATTGGCATGCTCTTCACAAACGTGTCCTTTCCGACTTCCGCACAGTTCTGATGTATGATCTAGTTGAGAGAAGTCGCATGCAAGGCATACTGTCTTCTGTGTTTGGGTGAGTGCTGCAGCCAGTAGTGCTGCAGATTTGCCTGGCCCTCAGTTTTCTCTTCTTTCACGGGTACCCGGCAGTTGCAACAGGCCTGGATGCAAAAAAGGGTTTTGGGTTCGGGATTTGAGGTATCCGGCTGATTGGAGAGAGCTCCGGGTTCAAAAGGTTTTCGGGTACACCCAAGCCCGTGCAGAAAAGGGTTTTGAGCTTAGGGTTTTGCGTTCAGGGTTTTGGATTTTAGGGTTTTGGATTCAGGGTCTTGGGCTTAGGGGTTTGGTTTAGGGTTTAGGGTTCTGAAAGCCCGCGCCGTATAGGAGGACCACGTGGCTTGTCAAGAAGCACCCTGGGCCCTAAAACCTGCACTCTAAGCCCGAAAACCTTGCAACCTAGGAAAGAGGGTGGGTAAAAGCCTTAAAGCGTGTAAGCCCTAATCCCGTAAACCCTAAACTCAGGCATGTCCGTGGGTGGGTGCTGAAACCCTAAGACAAATCGACAGCTGTGGGAGTTTTCTGTGGCAGGATGCGGATCGCCGGGCAGCGAAGCAGCGACCGCATCCTGGAAAGATACGCTTGCTTCGAGCCTTGAACTGTGGCTGGATCTCTAAAGTTAGTTTTAGGATGTCGCTCTGTCGCTCGAAACACGGATTTTTCAACAAGGGAATTCCGGAGACCCTAAACCCTAAACCCAAAACCCTAAACCGTCAACCCAAGTCTTCGAACATGTGTCAGCCTGATTTGTGTCAGGGCTCGGGAACCCTTAATTTAAAGCAAGCGGAGATGAC